CATCCAAAAAAGGTATCTTGCCATCTATTTCGACTTCCATGGTAAATAAATAAATGCGCCGTTTAAAAATAAATTTATGCGAACCAACACACCTGAAGACGACCGTTTGAGTTATGGTCGATACGTCGTGAGATTTTTTTTTATTGTTTTATATATATTTTATTATTTTGTTGTTTCTCTTCAACGTGACTTTACCGAAAAAACTAAGAATATGAATTACTGCAGTCACGAAAGCTTTAAATCAAAATTTAGAAGCAAGAACTGTTCAAGGCTTTTTGTTGACCTCTCTAAAGCCTTCGACACAGCACACAACGAACTTCTATGGAAGGTCCTTCTGCAGTATGGCTGCCCTGAGAAGTTTGCAAACTTCCTTAAATTAGTTCCAAGAGGGGATGATGACCAGCGTGACAGTTTGGCGGTCAGGAGTTTGAACCCTTTGGGGTAGGCACTGATGTGAGGCAAGGTTGTGTGCCTGTGCCGGTCTAATTTAATGTCTTCCTCCTATGTGTCACAACAGTTCTGCACAAGGACATGTAAAGGTAGATTGGGGTGACCCTGGACTTCGGGTTGAATGGGAACCTCTTCAACATCAAGAGGCTTCAATCAGCCACAAAGCTTATGTCTGAACATGTACTTGAGCTCCAGTATGCGGTTGATTGCACTCTTGTGGCACATACCCCAGAAGCTCTGCAAGCCACCCTCATGGCAGCTGTGAGAGCATACAGAAGAATGGGGCTATCTGTTAACATCACAAAAACAGAGGTGATATGTCAATGATTATCTGAGCCCCCACCTGAACCACCAGCATTCTCCATCTCAGATTTCCCACTTGCCATCGTTCCACACTTTAAATTACCTAAGAAGCATCCTCTCGGAAGACTCAAACATCGACCAGGACATCCAGCACCAGATCAAGCAGACCTCATCCTCCTTTGGACGACTCCGGAGGAGGGTTTTCAACAACTGTAACATCCACCTACACACAAAAGTTGCAGTAATACCAAGAAATGTGTTTCTACACTCCTCAATGGATATGAAACGTGGACAGTTTACAGCTGACAGCTAAAACAACGTGATTCCTTTAATAGAAAATGCCTCCAACACATTTTGAAAGTGACCTGGCAGGACCGTTTTCCACATTCTATGATTCTACAGAAAACCAGCTGCAGGAGCATTGAGGTGACCATCACACATCAGCAGCTCAGATGGCTCGGCCATTGAATCCGAATGCCGGAGGACCGCCTGTCGCGAAATATGCAGTACGGACAGCTAAAACTGGGCCATCGCTCTGCAGGTGGGGCAAAAAAAACGGCTTAAGGTTCAGTTGAAAACCTCACTAAAAGATTGTGGGATAGACCCTGCCTCCATTGAAGCTGTTGCTGCTGACCATTCAACCTGGCGCAGTCACTGCCATCAACGAGTGAAGTTAGCTGAGGAATAAAGGGCCGAACGTCACCTGTTGAAGCGGCAGAGGAGACATGTGACCATGGCTGCACCAACTTCAAAGGGACAGGCCTTTGTGGGCTCTGTCTATGGCAGACTATGTGCATCCCGCATCGGAATATACAGCCATCAGATAACCCACAAGAAGTAATGGAAGTCATTGTAGGATGCGATAGACTACCTTAATCAAACAATCAAGTGTATAGTGTTGTGTATAGTCGTGTATAGTGTATTGTGTAATGTATAGTAGTGTAGTGTAAAGTGTCGGAAACCGGCAGTATGCATGCCGCCCACAGTCACTGTCGTTTAGACCACCCCACCAGCATCCTGGGAGAGACAGAGAGGAGATAGAGTAGAGAGAGGAGGAGGAGGAAGGAGGGGTGATGGTTACGAAAATGTCCACGTCGCGTTCACGGTGGCTGTCACTGTGTACATACTTGTAGAGTGTAGTGTGTAGTTTATAGTAGTGTAGTGTATAGCAGTGTATAGTGTAGTGTGTAGCGTAGTGTGTAGTGTATAGTGTAGTGTGGAGTGCGTAGTAGTGTAGTGTATTGTAGTGTATTGTAATGTAGTGTATAGCAGTCTATAGTGTAGTGTGTAGCGTAGTGCATAGTGTAGTGTATAATGTAGTATTTATTGTGTATTTAACTGTATTGTGTGTATGTTGAACTTCATTGGCACCACCGTACATAGCCAACTATGCTAATCGGAGGTGCGGGGAAATGACAATAATCTAAACACAACAACAAGCACTTGTAAATAATTTATTTAGCAATTTAGTATAAAAGTGTAGTGTTTAGTAGTGTAGTGTATCGTGTCCTGTGTAGTGTACGATATCGTAGTGTATTGTAGTGTGTGCTGTATAGTGTAGTCTATAGCATTGTATAGTGTTATGTATAGTGGTGTAATGCGGCGATTGCATTTTGCGTGTTCTTGTTGTCGTTCGTAGGCAAGACCACGGGAGATACAGTGTCACCCACGGCGACAGAGGACGACGGTCCTACAGTGGGTGCGTGGAATTGTCGGATGTGTAGGGACACATCGTGAAACAGAAGTCTTATCATCATCAGCATCATCCTCCCACTTTTGCAAGGCCTGCAGCGAGTCATCGTAGTGACGCGTGAGTGGCAGGAGATGCCTTCCCGGAAAAACGTGTTCAGAGAAAACAATTTCTCCACGGGTAACAATGGGGATCCCATTGGGCAGCTGGTAAGAAAAACGCTTGTGGAGCATTGCTAATGATGATGGTCTTGGAGAGGTCACTCCCAAGGATGTTGAGGTCATTGGTGTAGTTTCCTGGTACGTACAGGCCATGCTCTCTGAATAGCTGGTGGCTCACTGGTTTCTTGGCTGGATACAAAATATTGAGCGGTTTGTCAGCATACACTTTTTATAGATGCAGTGAAGAGAATAATCTCTAAATGTTTACACATCCTCTCCAAAAACTCCCAAAAGTAGTATGGATGCAGGCAAATGTACACCAGGCAGTTGCCATACTTAAATAGAACAGGGAATATGAGGGTTGTGTCTTACAGATGAATGTGGCTGCAATGCACCAGGGTTTTATCTAGGTCGAGGATGAGCAAGTATTTTGGGGTGCTGTGCGTCTTGAGTGGGCACGCCGGCTGATGGACTAGCTGCTCCTCAGACAGCAGGGGAAGGTTTTTGATGAAGGCCTTTGGGTCGAACACCTTCCAGTCCTCGTCATAGCACGTCTTGGCAGGCATAGCGGCCAGGACCAGGTATGAGCTCTCGGGCGGCAACCTGGCAGGCTCCTCGTCCTCTGTCTTGCCGTCATCGTGTGTGAACAATTGGGAAACTGGTGATGAACTGTTCCCAATAGGTATGTTCTTGGTTGGGACTCACCATCTGTGGACTCTTCCATTTTGTTTGATTTCATTTCATCCACCAATATCTTCGTTGTGCTGGGGTTCTCTCCTCGTGACACCTGACCTGGTGGCAGAAGTTATCGAATACTCTTGAGAATGTTTCTTTCCTCTGCCCTCCTTCCATTACATCTTCACTTCTACCTGAACAGTACTAGCCCTCACGGCTTTCCTCGTCGTGCAGACCTGGCGACTTTGCCATGTAACTGCCCAGTGGTCCGAGTGAGACCCCGGTTGAGACCCACTGTGGCCTTAACCCTGTGTGTATTTTCCAAATGCAGATATATCTCTCTCTCTGAATCCACCGAACGTGTCTGATGTGGTTGTGAGGGAAATGGGGCGGGGGTGGGGTGGGTGTTTGTTGAGGTCACAGTAAACATAGAAAAATAAGCTGCACAGGAGACACGTGAGGCTTGATTCATACAGAACACTCGTGGAATGGCCGTCGTGCCAACACTTGAGCCTGACCGTGCATTGAACAGGATGCAAACATATTCTTAACCTGTGTTGACATACTTGAGTACAGAGGTCCCCACTCAATGTTTTTACCAAAGTAATTTAAAGTGACAATAGGTTATTATGTGCAAGAACCGTGGGATCAACTAGTTTTCTGTTACCATAGCCTTCACTCTGTACGTTTTAATCGAAATTCATCATTTACAAGACACAATTCTTCTTTCGTATGGATTCATAGCAGCAGATTAAAGATGTGATGTTTAGATGTTACCCACTCAGTTGTCTGTTCATAAGCAGAGTGGATCTCGTCCATTCCTCCTTTAAAGGAGTGAAGACGACAGCAGCAGCAGTCGTAGTGGAGGGTTTACGATGCTGGTCTATGGTTTGGGATTGGTGGCCGCGCATTTGCAGGCCGCCAAATATTTGATTCGCCATTTGTGGCATCGGGTGGCCGCATTGGCCACACGGCCTCCGGTCCTGATTCGGTCGATGGTCGATCATTGGCGGTATGGAACTTTGAAACCGGAGAGGTTCGACGGTGGGACCCCCCAGTACGAGATGTTGATTTTTGACATCGGTCACTCAAGCGCAGTCTTCGAGACAGGCTGGTCCCTTCACCTGATGAAGGCCGCTTGAGTTGTGGCCGAAACATCGTGATTTTTGTTGTTTTATTTTTTACCTACGTGACTTTACCGAATAGAACCAAAGAGTATGGATCCTTGCAGTCACGAAAGCTTCAAATCTAGAATCGGCCACAGGCCTTGACTCTCGCTTCCATCTCTCGCTTTAATTTGTATTTGTGCGTGGAGTGAGGCTGCTGCTGTGATCCAGAAGGGGGGTGTGGGCATGATTTTAGGCCTGAACAGGCGGCGTTTGGTTTATGTCTCCGACGTATCGGAAGGTTCTGAGGGGTTGAGAATGTTTTTGGCACTCCCGGACGGCCGCTGCTTCACTGCGTATTTTTCGGTGGTGCGATGTGGGGGTGAGCACTGGGAGCCACTGGGAGTCACCGGACACAGGGGTATGCACGCTTCAACATCCGCAGGCACTGCCCGCTGCTTCACGCAGTAGAGCAACCTGAATGGTGTCCTGACCGCGGCGAGATTCTTCGCATCTGTGCCGTTGTAGAAATGACGACAAACACGTCGTCATGTCACGTGACCTCCGGCGTGGCTGCTGCTGCTCATGTCACGGCGGAGATGCGGCAGGAGGTGGTGGTGGCAGTGGTGGCGGCGGTGGTGGCGGCGGTGGTGATCGCCCTCCTCATTTGCCATTTCACACGTGAGTGGAACAGTGGCGATGTATGTCATGAAAAGGTGGGGATGGGAGCGGAGGGGGTGGGAGGAGGGGGGTAGAAGAAGGGGTGGGGTGGGAGGGGAGGAGGGGAGGCGGTCGCAGAAGGGGAGGGGGTAGGGGGAGTAGGGGAGGATTCGGTGGCGGAGGGAAGGGGGTGGGAGGATGAGGGAAGGAAGGGGGTGGGGCGAGGACGGGAAGGGGTGGGGGGCGGAAGAGAGGAGGGGGGTGGGAAGAGGATGGGAAGGGGTGAGGGGATGAAGAGAGGAGGCAGCGGCGGAGGAGGGGGTAAGGAGGAGGTGGGTGGGGGGAGGAGGAGTGGATAGATAAACTAAACTTACTTTTTAAAGTAAACTGCACAACAAATTGGGCTTATTATCATCACTATCATCACGTGGGGATGTATAGCAGTAGCCAAATACTCTGAACGTGTGACGTTGATTTGAAATGTGGAGGGGAAACAAACGGAGGACCAGGAAAAAATCCTCGGGACCACGTGGAAGAGAAAGAGACAACAAGACTCCAAATATACAGCAGCAGGCATCGTCCGGGTCAAACCCACGACCTCCTGTACACCAGGCGAGGGAGTTAACATTTCTTTGTCAGAGGCTAAGGAGCGAAAAGCTGAAAATAAATTCTGAAATCAAACGTACGGTTCTTAATTTATTCACCGATACAAAATATACATTCATCCGACTTGATGTAAATTCATAAAATATAAATCACTCACAACATCCATTTACGTATTTTTCCTATTACATAAGAACATTTGAAGTTGGTGAATACCGTGCCAAAGTGGACAAATGATATCGTCACAATTCGGAGATGGAAAAATGTAACGTAGGCCGTGCTACCGTCGCTAACACTCATTGACACGAACCTGCCATAAACATTCAGGAATAACTTAACAGCCCTTTGCCAATGCACTTTCTAGGACCCAGCACCTGGCTCAACATCACGTGCCACTGACGTCAAGCATGACCAGGACAGCAGCTCAGGCCACAAATGAACCAAAATTCTTGGGCGCGTATCGTGACGGGCACTGTAAGATCCCACACTATCCATAAGTGGTTTTTTTTGGTCCATATTGTTGGACCATATTTTGCTACTGGTAAAGGAGGTTCCAATAGTGCAAATGCTTACCCCGAGCTCTCATACTCTGATGGTGCATTGTCTTTGAGTTGTGCGCCTTTTGGCGTCATCTAGTCCAACACCATGTGAGACTAGGCTCTAAGGAAAGCTGTCTCTGGTGTGGACCAATCAATTTCAAGCACAGTGCATACATTATCAGAGTTATGTTTTTTGTTTGCATTCCGACCGCAGGTATTGTGGTCAGTGCAAACATGACTCCTTGTAAAAAAGGTGTCAGTTTTGATGCCAGATAAAAGGGTAAAATCAATTACCATATTCTACCGGCAAAGGAGGTTCCAATGGTGTTTTTAATATTTTTCTGGTGTTCTTTTAGTCTCGTGCTGATCATTCGTCCTGTTTGCCCAACATATCATTTTCCACACATGCAGTTAATCCTGTACCCACCTTCTGTTGATAGCTTCGGAATGGGTTATTTTAACGTCTCTTGCGTCGGAATAGAACTTCTCATTTTAACACTGGCACAAAACAAACCGCACTTGAGGTGCGAATGATGTTGCTCGGAGGCAGCCACTGGAATTATTTACCCAGCGATAGCATTGGTTCCCCTAATTAAGGCGCTGAATAAAAAAATGTTGAGTTCGATCAGTCGCTTCAATAGCAACGTGACGAAATTGTGTCTGAGTCACGTTATTTTATTCCTGGGCTGAATGTGGGTGTGTGTATATGTGTAGCGGTCAGTGCTATGCTGCGCTATGAAACCGGTTACCCAAGTTCGATTCCCGCTCACGGCCAACACACCAGTGACGATGTAAACATCGCTACTGGGGAGACCAAGGCGGCCGGACGTGATGCTGGCCACCCTCCCCCTCGTGTGTCTTGCCGGCCTCGATAGGTGTTCACTAACAGGACTTGTCCCAACAGTCTGTCCAGGCTACACGGGGGGATCTTTGTCTCTGCGGTTCCAGTACAATCTGTGATTGTGTTCTGTGTGAAGCAGGCAAAGGACGGAGATCCACCCACGACGTCTCTACTCCTGAAAACGAGGTGGGTCTGTTTAACACGTAGGCTGTTAGACACTTTGTGATGACGACACAATCACAGTGGTTGCCACTTTGTGATGACGACACAATGCCAGTCTCGTAGACACTTTGTGATGACGACACAATTACAGTCTGGTTGACACTTTGTGATGATGAGACAATCACAGTCAGCTTGACACTTTGTCATGACACAATCACCGTCTGGTTGACACTTTGAATTCTGACATCGTCAGATTCACGATTAAGGGCTCTGAAGAATCACGAGATAATAAGACGCCTCTTCCTCGATGCTGAATGCGTACTAAACTACTACTAACTTATTTTGCACCGTAGATAGCCAAGCGCGCAAATCTTAAGTTTGGGGGAAGGACAACAAACTAAACACAACAACAAGATTTATCGATTTAAATATTTCGTGACGTTTCGGCCACAACACAAGTAGCCTTCCTCAGGTGAAGATACAGGACTGTCCGGAAGACAGCGCTTGAGTGAACACTGCCAAGCATGGACAGCGTCTTTTAAGCTGTGTGGGAGGAAGAGAGCGCCTTCACAAAGGAGTTAACAGACGGACGAGTCCATCTATCTCCTCCGTTCCGAATATAGATGGACTCGTCCGTCTGAACACAAGCTCGTCGTTCTCCGTGGTGTTAATCCCTCATACTAGCATCATGCTAATCCCCCAGTTACATGCTAATTTACTGTTGACTGTTGATATGTAAACTGCTGCTAATCCCTCACAACAACATCATGCTAATCCCCCAGTTACATGCTAATTTATATGTTAACTCCTTTGTCAAGGTGCTCTGTTCCTCCCACACAGCTTAAAAGACGCTGTCCATGCTTGGCAGTGTTCACTCAAGCGCTGTCTTCCGGACAGTCCTGTTTTTTTCACCTGAGGAAGGCTACTTGTGTTGTGGCCGAAACGTCGTGAGAATGTTATTGTCTTATTTTGTTTTATTGTATTATTCTCATTCTACGTGACTTTACCGAAAGAACCCAGAAGACAACAACACGAATTAGTTATAAAGAAATTAGTTTTCAATTTAGTAGAGTGGTGCGGTATATAGTCCTGTAGTTTATCAAGTAGTGTGCCTTGTAGTGTATAGTGTAGTGTATGGTAAAAAAAGCACGTTGGAGACGTCCATGAACATGAAGGTAGGTCTTTATTTTAATAGGTGTAGATGGTCACAAAAATTGTAAAAGTTAATTTGGAAATAGTTGGCATCAGTGAGGTGAGAACTTCCAAAAATCTGAAAAGTGTCATTCTAATTGTTTCTATCACACATTTGGCGTGTTTTCTAGCATGAACAGAATGCCAAATGACGTGCAGAAATTGATTAAATACTCGCACCAAGAGTGCGATTTGACATGACGTTAAGGTCGAGCTAATTTTGATTAAACCTGGAAGGACTCTGCAGACAGGGAGACTCTTCTTTGGAATAGTTACTTGGGGAATTACTCTGCCAGTAGGAAGTAATGTTTGCAATATGTTATAACACATGCCAGCTCGGCAATATGCGGTGCCATTTTCATTTTTTCGTGCCAAATGTGGACCCTGACGTTGGCACGCAATTGCCTACTCTTCCTGAATGACGTCAGGGGAATCTTTAACGTTCACTGTGAAGCAGGCAGCACGTAGTAGGAGTAGCAGCAGTCATGGTAGCAGCAGTAGTAGCAATATTCATAGCAGTCGCAGTAGCAGCAGTCGTAGTGGCATTGCTGCTGTCATTGCACCCTCTGTAATAATCCAGGAGGCCTCTGGATTCGGTCCGTGAAGCTCTTTAACAACTTAAATGACGACCGCTACCATGCGATCTGAGTGCCCGCAATTTCTGTCGACCAAGCACCACGTGGACTACAGTAGGCCTGGGAAAGCAACAACAACCCCTATATGATTTTTTTCGATTTAAAGCTTTCGTGACTGCAAAGATTCATCTTCTTTGGTTCTTATTATTATTATTTTATCCTCATTCTACGTAACTTTACCGAAATAGCCAAAGAAGATGAACCCATATATGGTGACGTCATCGTGCAACCACGTTGGGGTTTTATTGTGTATTGGGTGCAATTGTGAACAGCCATATATCAATCGTGAGAACGTCTCATTGGCATCATCATCGGTTCACTGCAGCTCAAAGACTCGGTCCCTAGAAGGTGTATATGGTGAAGTTGAGGAGGTGTCCACGTGCGCTCGGCATTTGTAGGGAAGAAGACCGGATCTTTCACCCGTCCTGTAACCCGTGATGTGTGGGTGTATTGTTTATAGGGGGAGAGGAGGAGACCTGTTAGCGTGCAGCGTCTATGGGTCTCTGTGTGATGACGAGTCTATGGGTCTCTGTGTGATGATGAGTCTATGGGTCTCTGTGTGGTGATGAGTCTATCGATCTCTGTGTGGTGATGAGTCTATGGGTCTCTGTGTGGTGATGAGTTTATGGGTATCTGTGTTGTGATGAGTCTATGTGTCGCTGTGTGGTGATGAGTTTATGGGTCTCTGTGTGCTGATGAGTCTATGGGTCTCTGTGTGGTGATGAGTCTATCGATCTCTGTGTGGTGATGAGGCTATGGGACTCTGTGTGGTGATGAGTTTATGGGACTCTGTGTGGTGATGAGTTTATGGGTCTCTGTGTTGTGATGAGTCTATGTGTCGCTGTGTGGTGATGAGTTTATGGGTCTCTGTGTTGTGATGAGTCTATGTGTCGCTGTGTGGTGATGAGTTTATAGGTCTCTGTGTTGTGATGAGTCTATGTGTCGCTGTGTGGTGATGAGTTTATGGGTCTCTGTGTGGTGATGAGTCTATGGGTCCCTGTGTGATGACGAATCTATGGGTCCCTGTGTGCTGATGAGTCTATGGGTCTCTGTGTGGTGATGAGTCTATCGATCTCTGTGTGGTGATGAGTCTATGGGTCTCTGTGTGCTGATGAGTCTATGGGTCTCTGTGTGGTGATGAGTTTATGGGTCTCTGTGTTATGATGAGTCTATGGGTCTCTGTGTTGTGATGAGTCTATGTGTCGCTGTGTGGTGATGAGTTTATGGGTCTCTGTGTGGTGATGAGTTTATGGGTCTCCGTCTGCTTGTTGTCGTGTGGGTGCTGATGTGGATGCAGAGCAATGACTACAATTGCACATTCAGGTGGTCAATCTCAGATGTCAGGAGCAAGCAGAGTAGTGAATCATCGCGCTGATGTCTTCTTTATATTTGTTAATCTGGGAGTTGCATCATTACACATTGTATAGTCTCTGTTCTGGATGACCAGAGTCACACCACTACCACTGGATAGTTTTTCATTTCCATTTGTGCATCACCAGCTACCCGCATCTACCGCCATGGTTTGGGCAGTGGATGCGGTTGAGGGTGGACCATGAGCAGCTTAGTGGAAGACCAATCCCCAGTGGGATCTTCTGAGTTGTGTCTTTCCCAACAAGGCGGTGTCTGTCTGTGAGTTGTTTTGAAATCGGCAGGTGTCCTAACGGCTGTCACTGACCAGGGTGGGGCGATGTCTCCGTTTGACTCAGTACGAGGAGCTGCGCCAAAAGGAGATCGTCTACGACCACCTGGAGAGAGATCGCAAGGCCACACGTGGAGCCGCATCTCCACCACTCGGCCCCACGATTTGAAGAACCTCACCGGGATATAAATCATCAATTGAGTCTCACAGGACGGCTTTGGCTGTGTCTGGTAGTGCCAGATATAACGACACATTTATATTTACGCGATCTAACCCCAAAAAACCCTCTATAATGGATACTATTGGTCGCGAAAGACTCCGTGTTAAACTGACTTGTGAAGTTTAATCATAATAATAATAATTAATTGAATCCCTCCTGAGGAGAAATTACCACGTGCCAACTATTCAGCCCCCCAAGTCTCTCGCTCCATCGTTGGCTGTTGGTTGATGGGGAGGTTGCACGCACATACAATGTACGTCTTTCCGACTGTACGTAGACAACTGTTCTCATCGCAAGTGCACTGTTGAGTCTTTGGGCAGTGTTGAGTCTATGGGTATTGTTGTGTCTATGGGCAGTGTTGAGTCTATGGGCAGTGGTGAAGGCCGCTTGTGTTGTGGCCGAAACGCCGTGAGAATATTATTGTGTTATTTTATTTGATCAATTTATTATTTTATTCTCATTCTACGTGACTTTACCGAAAGAACAAAAGAAGATGAATCCTTGCAGTCACGAAAGCTTTAAATCGAAATCTATGGGCAGTGTTCAGTCTATGGGTAGTGTTGAGTCTATGGGCAGCGGTGAGTCTATGGGCAGTGTTGACTCTATGGGCAGCGGTGAGTCTATGGGCAATATGTATGTACATAATATAGGTTTTTTGGGGTTAGATCACGTAATTATGTGTCTTTAAATCCGCCACCACCCGACAGAGAATTAGTAAGGTGTTTGTAACGTAAAAAGAACATGGCAATTCGTTACTAGTACAGCAGACCGGTGTGTTGGAGAGCAAGTCCACAATATTTCCAATCTGAGTACGACGTTTTGACAGTAATTACAACTAGCTTCATCAGGCGACAGCCATATTTGTGGAGAAATCCTCCTGGTTCGTTCCTTAAATAGAGGGATAGATGTGATGACGTCACTTATAAGCCCTCTTGTGCGAAGAGGTGGGAGCGGGGGGGGATTAATTATTGCATATAAATCACAATGGGTATCCATTGCCGGTTGGGGTATTCATATGGTAATCAACGTAATTATTCATGCACATTATGCATGCAGGTTTTTCTTGTAGTCTGGTTAGTACACTCACTCAGTTTAATAACCATTGCTACAGTCTACATTATAGACTGCCAATACACTGACCAGCTTAAAGATCAGGCTACAGTCTGCATTATAGACTGCCAGTACACTCAATAATGTTCAGAATCAGGCTACAGTCTACATTATAGACTGCCAGAACACTCACCAAAGTTAATAAGAATATATATTGTAATCTTACTTGGCCCTGTGCATAACAGAAGATTGACTTGTGTACAATACAGTCATATTGGCATAAACAAGCATACTATGAGAGGTAATTATTGTCTGGATATTAGGGTTCCAAATAGATCAAATTGTATATAAATATATTGTTATAATCTTATTGTACTTAGTGCCTACAAGGTGTATGAGAAGCTATTTAATAAAATATCATCGTGTGCGTTATATATGCAACTGATACTCGTATTTAGTGAGTTATGAGGGAATACACAAACACATACACACACCGTATTAACTCGAACCTGTCAAGCATTCAGGAATAATGAACAGCCCTTTGCAAGTGCACTTCCTAGGACCCAGGACTGGATTCAAACATCACGTGCCACTGACGTCAAGCGCGACCTGGACAGCAGCTCAGTCCACATATTAATCAAAGCTCTGTGACGCGTGTCGTGATGGGCACTGCAAGATCCCACACCGTGTCCGTTCGGTGCTCGCCGAGCTGCATTGGCTTCCGATTGCTGAACGAACGCAGAGGTATTAGGTTATCGCACTGTTGCACACAAAGTGCTTGCCATCAATGAACCACAATACCTCGTATGCGGATCTCGTCAAAGAGCATAAACCGTTATCACGTGAACTCCGCTCATTTTCGCAGCGGCGGCTTTAGGCTGGTCATTGAACAAAGATGGTGGTCACCGCATCATCGCATGGTGCTTTCAGATGCGCTGCTTCAGCGACCATCTAGAATGCTCTTTATTCCACTATTAGGAAGCCACTGGAGCTACACAATTTCAAATCAACAAAATTGACGAACTAATTTCTTTAGAACTGCTGCTAATTGATGCTGTGTTAAGATTGTTGTCCTTCCTCTGCACCTCCGATAAGCGCGGTTGGCTTTGTACGGTGTGAAAGAAGTTAAACATGCATCCATCGTGCAATATTCCAACCACAGTGCCACTGCTATGCCTGGAAATAACTGAACAGAGCTTATTTCCAGGACACCAACCCGTCCTGACAAGCATCATTCAATATTCTCAAACAAGAGATAAAGATCCCTCATGTAGCCTGAACTGACTGTTGGGGCAAGTGCTGTTAGCGAGTAGCACCTATGAAGACTCGCATGGCACATGAGGGGGTGGGTGGCCAGCACCACCCCTGGCCGCCTTCGTCTCTCAAGTGGCGAAGTTTACATACTGCATCAGATACTCATTTGAAGGTTGAGTCGACCGGTTAAGATAATTTCCACTGACGTTTTCCATGATCAGAAATCAAACCCGGGTCACCGATTTCATAGCCACTGCTTCCCACTATAGAATGCTCGCAACAACAACCTCACCCTTACTCCACACACAAAGACAAAGGTTATCCTGTAGCCAAACAGATTGCTGGGGCGTTTCCTGTTAGCGAGCACCTGTATAGGTAGACACAGCGCCCAAGAAGGTTGCCTGGTAAGCACCACACCTGGCCACGTTTGTCTCCACGGTGCTGATGTTTACACACTACACTGAATACACATAAGGTCAGATATGTGCCACTAATCTTAGGAAACATATGATATTCTCCATATTAAGACGCAATGTATTATAAGTTAGAGGTGCATCATGGTATCTGTTATATGGGCTGTAACCTGGAACCTGGACACACCACTTACAATGTACAATTTTGGTCAATGTCCAAACTTACTGAGCCAAAAATTTAATGTTTGAACTTTTCCAATTCAATGGTAAATGGGTTACAGGGCCACCTCTCAGACCACCCACAACTAATCTCTGTAAACAATCTTACCTCGAACAAAACCCCGATCACTAAAGGTGTCTCTCAGGCTCCATACTTGGTCCTATCCTCTTCTTTAATTGTGTCAATAATTTACGAGACTCATTCGTCCACTCCAACCTCAATCTGTTTGCTGATCACAATGCTGTGATGGTGTCTAGAAAATCCGAGGATGATCTGACTTTGACTTATTCCAAATGCAACTGAATCATCTACAATGTGTTCTTAATCTTGATTTGAAGTTTACCTTCAGACATAACTTCAACCGAGAAGATGGATACAAATTAAGCAATCATTCGAAGGACGTGGTCAACCAGGTAAAGTTGTAACTACTTTGATGTTCCCTTCCTACCTGCCAATATTAACCGACTCTCTGAGTTGCAGTGCTGAGTTTAATGTCTCTGCCCCCCTTCTTTTCTCTCTTTCACTTGAAGACGATTGCTTGTTTTGTGATCGAAACACCCCTCTCTCTTCCGCTCGTTCCCTATTTGGATGTCCCACTCGCTTAGTCTCATGCATTGACATGGCCCTCGCCGAGCTCACATTTACAAGCAAATTTCCAGGCCACAGCCGACCTCGGCCCTCGCTGAGTTTACATTTACAATCAAATTTCCGGACCCTAGCCGAGCTCTACCCACGCCGAGCTTCCCCCACCCTCTTGCCAGATGCAGCACCCCCCTCCCCTCCTCTCGGGTCTATATAATTCCTTGTCTCAGCAGTCTGTTTCTCTCTCTCACCTGAAAATAGTTGCTTGTGTTGCGATCAAAACGTAATGATATATCATGTTTTTTTGTATATCTACGTGACTTTACCGAAAGAACCAAAGAGAATGTGTTCTTATTGCTAGCAAGACGACACGAACAGTGCACTCTAGCAAGCAGTCAATTGACCACTTCCACTACTACCAATACTGTGTTCAACTCTCAACAAATGTAACTTGTCAACAAATTTAAATATCTGGTTGTCATCCTCGATCACATTTGCAAATAAACATGAGGGAGTTAGATTTGCACCATTTTGGCCCCAAACTTTTTCATATCACTGGGTTTGAACGTCCACTGTGAAGTAGACAGTTTGCATGTTTATGGTTAAAAACACAGTTGTAACCCAATGTGGCCACTGCTCGATTGAGTTTTGCAAGCGATTGGAAAGAACACGTGTTTTCTGGTACCATAACAGTGTTGAGACAAGTGGTCTAGTGGTGTTGTGCACCATTTTAAAGACGTTACAATGTTAGCACTGTATTTTGTACCAGATACCATAATACTCAGCGTTTAAATGCATCATGTTCGTCCCTACAATTTATACAGTTAGGAGGTTTCTTATTTTATGGCGATATCTTTAATCCAGAGAATATGGTATAACATTTTTATTAACATGCTTACGTTTCAAATCATTCAAAAATATGTATTTAACATTATCACATACTAATATTACTGAATAACTATAATATATGACTAACAGCACATTGACTAAAATATCACCATTGACACTGATGTATACAGCCCCTTGTCTCGACGACATACTGGCCATCAGTGTTAATTTGATCATTATTCATAAAACCATTCAATGCTGGATGTTAAACGGAAGGAGCAGAGATGTGAGATCATAGAAGAGCAGTATACCAGTGGGTTTATAACAGTATAACACATCACTTATCAATCATATTACCATTAACACAATCACACTAACAGTGGGTACTAACATTTAATTTTAAACAAGTTATTTTTGTAATATCACTACTTAAACTAATATTACCAGGACTTTGCTAAAATACCGCGACTTGCCATGAATGAGCACATGATCAATTTATATACATATTTTACCCTCTACTCACTGCCACCATATGCACTAACATTACCACCGACTTTTAAAAACACCCATGTTGCCGTGGTTGACATGAAATATCAAACGTCTAAAAAACAGAATGGGAACCCAAATGAGATAGTCACTTGTTCTTCAGTGAGAGTGTGGACGAGTAAAATGGGTGATTGTTCTTTAAAGTGAAATTGGTCACCATCTTCTTAGCAAAAAGGGTTGACTTCTCATCAAGCTAAAATGGCCGACTTCAACGTAAAATGGAGGTCTTCAAATAAAGTATTGCTATCGTTGGGAGCTTCGTCGAGTATGAGCTTTGCAAGCTACCAGGCAATGAAGAGCAACGTTGATTACTCAGGAGGTGCTGAACCCTGAACACGAGCCAGTCTTGGTTGTGCTTCAGCAATAGACTGCGCATTACTCTTTCTAGACGTGGGTTACTTGATATGTTAAGGGTGCTGTCAGCGTGCCATGAAGATAAATGTCATTCAGTGGGGGTTATGTAA